TTTCTGCTCACATCCTCTGGAACTCCATCCTGCAGTCCCTCAGCCTCACCCCTTCCCTCTTCAAAACCCACCCACCTCCATGACTGTCCTTTGACCACTCTCCCAGCACCCCCTACCCTCGAACCCTCTTGATTCCAACCCCCAGCTCAGGTGCAAATCCTTAGCTATCCAGTGCCTTTAGATATCCTTCAGACGGGAAATGAATGTAATTTTTTTGTTGCATTATTTAAAAGGGAGATAGGTAAGGACAAAACATCTAATAATAATATATAATAATCATTGCATTTGATATAGCGGTTTTCACGACTTCTCTAAGTGCTTCACAGAATATGCTGTAAAGTGACTTGACTGTATATTTGTGGGTGAATATAAGGCTTTTAAGATATATGGAGAAAGAACAGGGAGATTAGATTAAAAGTACAACAAAAGCAGAAAAATATAGAATTTAAAATAATTTATTATTACAAATAACAAAATGCAATGGAGTGATTCTCACTAACACAACACAGGCACTTGGAAGGAGAAATTCCATCTGGGTCTGGATTTATTCTATTTTCTTAGTATTTCAAAGCATCCAGAATGCGGCATTTTGTTGAATTCAGTCTTTACTTTGAAGCCAGATTGCTGAAACTCTTGATAACCAGTTTCAAAATTAAGGATGTATTTAAGAATCTGTCAAGTGTTGGCCACTCTGAAACAATATATCAACAGAGTAAGTCTACACCCAGGTAGAATTTCTGCCCCCAGACTTCAACATGAGGGGTCTTTTATTTAGGAAATTCTTAATCTCCTGACTACTTTTTCCTTTGTGCACACAATTGTATTACCATCAAAAGATGAATAATAAAGATAACACATTTTTACCACTCATGATTAGTAAAACACTGTGTTCAAAATAATTGCATTAAAGATTGCATAATAAAGATTGTGTAATAATCTTTGAGTTCAGTTTATGTTTTCAGTGAAGAATAGTGCACGCTTTGGAGATTTTACAAGCTGCAATCTTGTCAAGATGTTTAGCTATATCGTAAACCAATAACAGAGAGGGTCAGAGAGTTTATAGCTGTTGCCTAAGCACTAAGATGCCACCTCTTCTGGCTCCATTGGATATACTCAGCATCCCTATACTGTTGACATTCTCAACCTTTGATCTCACATCTCTTTCAATGCTAAATCAGCATCAAAAAACTGTAGATTTCTCTTTCTTTTAGGCCCTAATGCACAGAACATTGGAATAAGAGTAAGGCTGGAATTCCATACAAAGGTGCGGCCTTGCAACGATTCCAGTCTGTCTCTTATTCAAAAGGAGGGACTCCGGAAGGCATGGCCTAGGAATTAGGTGGGCAGAGGACTGTAGAAATGGCTCTAGCCTGATTCCTGAAGGTCCCTTTTACAGCCAATGTTGGATCCCTCATTGTGGTCTTTCAATGCCGTTTAACAGTGCGACAACTTGTCTAAATAAATATCATGCAAAAGAGCACTTAACAGGCTGCTTTTACTTTAGAAACAAGGACCCCACTAAACAGGGATCTAAGATGGGCCGGATCCAAGTGTTATCAGTCGGCTTTAGGTATTACCATTATTCAGAAGCTGGAAAGACTGTTTATTTTATCTGTCTGTTTAAATACGTATTTTAACCACGTTCCCTAAATAAAGAAAGGGCTGGTTTCAGGAATATTACATTTTGTACAATGTGCCACATGTAATTATAACAAAATAAACAGTCAATTCACTTTACAGTATATTCTGTAAAGTGCTTTGAGCTGTCTCGAAAATGTGATAAAGCGTTATTATCTCTGTTACATAAATGTTACACTTTGAAAAAATATAATTGTAGCTCATGAGAAACACATTCCAACTAATTTCAAACTTTATAAGTCACACCAGGCAACAATAAAAGGTACACAGTTGGAGAGTTATTATCATACCACTGCTTTTTTGGCACAAATTAAGAGTGTTTCAATAAATATTGATTAGGCAGAACCAGTTATTAATTTCAAGAAATTAAATAATCTTATTCTGATTAACTAATTAAAGGGTCTGGAAAATACATTTAAAGAGAACAACAGCAGTGAGCAAGATTCCTTTGCAAAACAAATTCTATCCAGGTCTAGATTTATTCTATTTTCTCAGCTTTTCCGAGCGCCCTAGAATTTGTCAAATTATTGAATACAAGCTTAACTTTGAAACTGGTTTTCTATATTTTGTAAAAGAAACTTACAGAAAACTAGCTTGAAAATTAAGGTTGTTTAGGAACTGTTAATTCTAGATACTCTGAAATGCTAAGAAAATAGAATAAGTCATGGCCCAGGTGGAATTTCTCCCTACTGTCTAAAATCATCATTTACACAGAATATTCAGGTGCTTTTGCACACCATTCTGAGAACTAATGTCACTAATGATAGTAGTTACTGCAATGACCCAATGGAGGCTGTTAACCTTTTGTACAAATATTTCACTTTACATCATCAGAAATACTTTACAATCATGTCATCTTTTATTTGCTAGAGTTGGGTGTTTTCCATTAAATTGTATGCATTAAGATGAAATAACTTAACTTTAGCATATCAAGTTACTCTCAGTGTGACCAGGACTGATAGACTGATCCTCAACCAAGCGCAATACAAGGATGAAACACGAGTAATCTACGCCACTCGTAGATAATCTATATCCTGATGTATTTAAGAGAAATTTCACACCACTTCATATATAAGTAGAGTAACTGCTATAAAAAATCCTTCTGTAACTAACAATAGTTATAATAATAATAATCCTTGCATTCGATATATTGCCTTATTATTTCGTCGAGATGTCTCAAAGCGCTTTACAGAATATACTGTAAAGTGGAGTGACTGTATATTTTGTGGGTGAAGCCTAGCTGCCAATTGCGCACAGCAGTGTCCCACATCCAGTGTCATGGATTGAGTGACCAATTTATTATTGTTTTAAGGAATTAGTACCCACGGAAAAGTAATCCACCAATCGACTAACAACCGGGTTCCTACTTACTGCTAGGTAAATAAAGGCATGTGGAGTAAGGAAACTTGCCCAACATTTCGTCCTGCCAGGAATCGAACCTAGGTCTCTCGCTTGACAGGCAAGTGCTCTAACCAATGAGCTACAGGACTCCTACATCTATTTAACTAATTGTTTTACTAATTATTTTAATTAAATAGATGCAGTTTCTACAAGAAAAGAATAAAAGTGATGCCCTATTGGCTGTCACATCCATACATCAATAAGAATGGAGTACACCCCTAGTATTAAAGTTGACTGTGAGAGCATCAGCCTGCCAGAGGATGCTTGACTTCAGACCATGCATGGCTGTATCATGTTAATTAAGTTATGTAATATGTGTTACTGATCACATTGTCGCAGAGGTCAGAGTGAAGCGGAGATTGGGGATGAACACACTGAAGACAATCAATAATACCAACTCGCACCAACTGGAACAGCAGATGCTTTTTCAGGGAGAACAATACTTTCTGGTAAGACTTATTGCAGCAATTTCTGGTAAAGAGAAAAGGTCAGTGTTTTAAGCCACAGATAAATATTTACAAATGTAATGAAAAATTAGAGATATATTGTTAGTTGGAAAAGCAAACACAAATAAGGCTTTTAAGATCAATAAGATCAGCGATGTATTATTAGTTTGGAAAGCAAACATAGGATATATTATTCATAGGCTCTACTTAAATCTAGTGTAACAATAATAATACTTACATTTAATATAGCTCCTTTCATGTCAGGAGGACATTTCAAAGCACTTCACGGGATGTACTGTAAAGTGGAGTGATGGTGTATTTTGTGGGCGAACACGGCAGTCAACTTGCATGCAGTAATGTCCCACAAACAGCCATGAAGTAAATGACCATTTTTATTTGGGGTGATATTGGCCACATATTACACTTCATTGCAGAATCACTGTTTGATCATTACTTTTATTGATCTATTCTATGCCATTGGTGATGGGGCCACCTCAGTTCGCTTGGGCTAGCAAGAAGGCAACTGCTCCTGATCACCTTCCAGTAACCCTTACTAAAATGTACAGTGCGTGAGGGCAGAAATGAATTCAGCTTCAATGGTCAAATAGGTTGTTGGAGTTTACTGTACAGTAGCATATATGATGAATGAACATTTTTTGTGAGATATCGGAGCGTTGAATAACTCCATCTAGAGAACACAACAAAGGAAAGGAAACAAAATGAAAAATACGCGCATCAAAAATTGCAATGTCCAATTTTCTTGAAGCAAATATTCAGTAAATAATAATAATAAACCTTGCATTTGATATAGCGTCTTATCACATTTTTGAGATGTCTCAAATCGCTTCACAGAAAACACTGTAAAGTGAGCTGTTTATTTTGTGGGCGAAACGTGGCAGCCAATTGTACACAGCAGTGTCCCACAAACAGTTGTGGATTGAGTCACCAAATTATTATTTTTATTTATTTATTCACTTATTTTTGAAGGGTTTATTATCCCCGGAAAAGCGATTCGCCAATCGACTAACACCAGGTTCCTATTTACTGCTATGTAAACAGAGGTGTGTGGAGTAAGGAAACTTGTCTAACGTTTTGTCCTGCATGGGAATCAAACCCAGGACTCCACAAGTATATAATGGGGGTGAAAAATGCATTGTTTTATAACAGTTTCAACATGATCTGTTATGGGACATAACATTTTGCACCCCAATAAATTCACATGTTATACACGAGTTTCAAAGCTGATGAAGCAAATATAGACACAGCAGGTATAATTTATAATTGCTCCGATTATAAATTAAGCACTCCGGGACGCTACCCTGAGTGAAGGGCGCTATATAAATGTAAGTTGTTGTAACCATTATGCAGTTATGAATGTTCAAGCTTCTTTAACTTTAGAGTGAGAAAAAGGATAGTTTTAATTAGACAAGTGGACACAAACTCATGTGCTACCAAAGAAACTTGCCATCAATAATTTAATACAGCCGACATACACACCTTTCCAAGGACTGCAAGATGATCAATTCAACTTCTGGTGAGAAGGTAGAAAATGTACAGTACTGCTTCGAATTTGTCAATGATTCTTGTCCCAAAGCTATTCGATTCATACCAACCTGTACTATGCTTTACATTTTTATGGTTTTTATCAATAGTGATCACTGTGCTGGGAAACCAGATGGTGACCATTTCAATCTCACACTTCAGACAACTCCACACACCCACCAACTGTCTTGTACTTTCCTTAGCCATTGCTGATTTCCTCGTTGGTTTGCTTGTCATGCCATACAGTATGCTGAGATTGATTGAAACTTGCTAGTATTTTGGAAACTTGTTTTGCAAAATTCACTCCAGTTTAGATATGATGATGAGCACAGCATCAATATTTCATCTGTTTTGTATTGCAATTGATTGCTACTATGCAGTGTTTGACCCTTTGCTCTACACTACAAAAATCACTCCTCCTGTAATAACCACATTTGTTGCAGTTAGTTGGGTAGTCCCTACAGTATTTGCATTTGGGGTGGTTTTCTCAGAGATTAATCTGGCTGGAATTGAAAACTTGTTAGAAACTAGTTCTTGCATTGGCAGCTGTGCTCTTCTGTTCAATGAACTGAGTGTTAGCTCTGGTAATAGAGTTTTTATTCCGAGTATCATTATGTTAGGTATTTATATCAAACTATTTTTGGTGGCAAGGAAACATGCCAGGGCTATTGAAGGTGTAACTGAAAAAAATAACGCTTCTGAAGGGAAGACAAATAGAATTTCGAGAAATAAAGAGCACAAACCTGCAAAAACTTTGGGTTTAGTCATGGGCATCTTCTTAATTTACTGGGTGCCTTTCTTCATAACTACCATTATTGATCCCATTATCAATTTTTCAACACCACCAATTATCTTTGATACATTTGTATGGTTTGGTTATTTCAATTCTGCTTTTAACCCCATACTCTATGCTTTCTTTTATCCCTGGTTCCATAAAGCATTGAAACTGATTCTTTCCTGTAGGTTATTTGACTCTGATTCTTCCACAATTAATTTGTTTCCAAAATAATCACTCACAGATCCTTGCATCAAACATGATGAAGCCAGGACACTGTGAAAAACTGTTAATGTGGTATGGTACTGAACTGTATAGACCAGAGTGGTCCAACCTATTGGCTGCTCGATGCCCTATTTGAGAAACGTCCGCATAAGCAATATTTTTGTGTTTCCTTTTCAGGAACATAACATACCATTTATTGGTTATGGAGAGAGTGAGTGGACCAGATGAAATGGAGTGGGGTTGGGGTGAGGTGGAGGCAGTTTGACCACCCTGATTTAGACGAAAGAGGGTTCAGAGTGCCAGGTTTAACTCCTGGTCTATACTGAATTAACTAGTATCATTAGGGGGCAGTGGGATCACAAGAGTTCATGAAAGGTTTGGATGAAGAAAGCCCTTTTCAACCCGTTTGATGTCATTATTCCAGAATACTGACTCTTATCATTTTTTCAGTACAGTATTTAATTATTTCTTAAATGGATCCTGGCTCAATCATCCTTCTTGGTAACCCAATTCATATATCAACTGCCCCTGTGTAAGTGGCTGCTGAAAACCTAGTCTAAGCTAAGTGGTGGGGGTGGGTGGGGGGTGGTAAAACCTCACTGCCAAAGTTCACACATTATGATAGCAACAAAAGATGATAGATAATGCTCATAGAAATATAGCCCAACTAGAACAACAATTTGCATTTATGTAGTGCATTCGAGCATGCAAAGTAAAATGTTTGTTTAGACATTTCGGATGAAATATCATTTTAAGCTTTTCTGTTTTGTTTCTTTATTCATTTTTACTTTATTCCGTTTTTATATAGTGTCTTTCTGCTTCTTTGTAATCTTTCCATTTCTTGTGTTTCATATCACACTGTCTCTGGCCGAGAATAGAGTTCCAGTGTGATGGGAGCAAAGATGCTGAATGCCCGACCACCATGGTGGGGCGGGAAGTGCGGGGGACCTGAAACAGGCTGGTGTCCACTGAGCGGAGGGAGAGGGCAGACTGATATGGGGTTAGGAGGTCGGAGAGGTAGGGGGAAGAAAGACCGTGGAGGTTCTTGAAGGTGAGAACGAGGGTTTTGTACTTGATTCTCTGAGGGATGGGGAGCCAGTGAAGCTGGGAAAGAATGGAGGTGAATGGTTCAGTATGATGAAATCTGAATTATGACCGAAATCAGTATTACATGTGAAGAATAATGCAGGTGAGTCAACAGTTTACTAAGTTCCCAAAGTTTGTAAACTTTATTAAATATTTTCTTGAATCTTTTATTCTGCTGAACTATTCTGAACCTTACATATGAATTTTTCACCCACAAAACATACAGTCAATCCACTTTACAGCATATCCTATGAAATACTTTAATGTGTCTGAATGACATGATAAGGCGCTATATCAAATGCAAGGATTATTATTATCTATTTTCAATACAATTACAAAGAACAATTGATAGAATTTAAGCTTCACACACAATCTGAAGGTTTTCCACTTATTTGATGCCATATTTACCTAATTCTTATTTCAGTTTTTAATATCCTTTATTAATGATCAGTATGCTACTCGTAGTACAGTATTCATAACGTACTCTGTCTTTAATTTTTACTACATTTTTCTACCTAACTGTATCTTTATCTTTTGTTTTTTTTCTTATTTTGTAATTCATTTTGTGTGTTCCTATCTTTTAGGCTTTTATTTAAAAAAACAACCCAGTGTTTATTTCTGCAATTTTTGTGAGTTTTCTTAGAAAGTAGCATAATTTTTCTACACTACATTAATTTAGATCAATGGGAGAAACGTTCTTCAAGGACTGTCCAGCTTACTCACAGCTTAGAAATAGCACAAAAATGTCTTATTGGCTGGGCTATTCAATGTCATTAAGATTGGGACATAAGACAAATACTTTAATCTCCTTAAAATTCACTGGAAGGCTTTCTATCTGAATTTGATGTGTGTCCTGCTTCATAGCCACATAAAGACACAATGTAACTCTGTGTCTGTGGAAAAGGGAACACTGATCTTACATTCTGGGTTAAATTGACTACATTTGGATTGGATTACCAGCAGCGGCATTTTGGGATTGGATTGAGCAGCAGTAGTTAGTTATGCAGTAAAGATCTTGCAATCTCTCTTGAAGGACAAGTTCCTGCAATAAAGGTATTGATAGCTTTATATTTAACTTCTATAGGAGTAAAACAATTACTTCTACGTTTTAATATTGTGCAGAATTTTTGATAGTTGCAATACTTGTCGACTATTAAGCTATTTTCTTAAATCTTTCATTCTGCTGACAGTTCTGAACCTTAAGTATGTATCTATTATCTGCTAAATTAAAATCAATTAAAAGTTGATAATATCAACTGATAACAAAAGTTGAAGGTTTTCAGTTTTATTCCATACCAAGTCATTACACAAATTCTTATTTCAATTTTTAAGATTCTTAATTCATTCTATCCTTTAGTATTGAAAGAATAACTGTTATTTTCTTTCATGCAATTCCATGCCTGTTCAACAACCTGTTGTTACAGAATAGATGCAATTATTCAATTTCAATTTTAAAAACTTGTTGTTTTGATGATTTTCTGAATTATTTGCTATTACACAATAAAAGAATCACCAAACCAGTACATGGAGGATATCTCAGTACTATATCCATAAGAGGATTATTAATACATGAGTAAGATCTATCAAACACTCTTTAAAGGTTTAATATTTAATATGAAATGGTATTGGACTGGGTGTCAGGGAGTTGGATGAGGAGTTAAGGGAAATGAAGCAATGGTCGAATTTATTGATGATGGGATGTTTGAAATGGTGAGATCCCATTTTAGAGAACTCAGTATTTGGTAAATTGTTGAACTTTTAAGAAGTTGCCAAATTCTGCACACTTTACAATACTACGTAAATAGAAACCTAAGTAGAATTTCCCCATGATGTCTTACACTGATATTTCAACATTACGTACATGGGTGCAGCTTGCAGGAGATTTACCTTAAATAATAATCCTTTTGTTTGATAAAGCGCCTCATCACGTCATTCAGACGTCTCAAAGCTCTTCACAGAATATGTTGTAAAATGGATAGACTGGGTATTTTGTGGGCAAAACATAGCAGTCAATTGGGCACAGCAATATCCCACAAACAGTTTTTTTAAAAAATTTTGGAGAGATTATTACCCACGGAAAGCGATCCGCCAATCGACTAACAACCAGGTTGTTAGAGGAAGGAAACTTGCCTATGGTTTCGCCCCACCCACACCCGATTCTTTTCACTGCAAAGTAATTGTTTTTGATGTGCCATTTACGCTGTTGTTTGCCCAAAAAAGCTTTTTTAAACTTCAGTTTTAGGATTAGGCATGAAACAGTGTGGCGTTCCTAGTACTCACTGCCGGGCAGAAAATACCTGGCCTGAATGATGGATGATACAGAAATATTACAGAGTTCTGCTTTGAAGCCTTATTATTGATTCATTATTAAGGGGCAGGCTTTGACAAAGACAGGTATAATAAATTGCTCATGTCATGATTCAACCTTTGCTCAAGCATTGGAGCCTTGCCTGTCTTGACCCCAAACACAGCACATGGTTTACGTATTGTGTTTGGGGTCAAAACAGGAAAGGCTCCATAGCTGGTGATAGAGAAGAAATGCAGATAACATTCAAAGAGTGGGTGGAATCAAATTGGGAGCAGGTTGTATCTGAAGTTAGGCATTTATGAAGTTAAGAGGAACAAACAGTAAAGGCAAACAGCTCCTGAAGGAAGGAAGGATTGATATTAGAATATTCAGAAAGCTAGACACATGACTACTGGAGGCAGAGATGTGAAATATGTAGGACAGACACTGTGCAATAGGAACATCAGATTATAAAACAAATAAATATTTATAAATGCTCTGAAAGAAAGTTGCATGTTAGAAAATGATAGAGTCAAAGTTGCAGTATTCCTAAACACGTTCAGTTCTTTATTGAAGGAATGAGGTTAAAATCTAGTTTGAAAATGCCTCCCTTCCCAACCCCCAGTTCCTTCTAATAATTTCATCTGAACTTTACAGATTAATAATCTTCTGATCCCAAGTCTTGCTTGAAGCTTAGTCATTGTGTACTCATGTTTTCTAGCTCTCTGAACACAGTCAAATTAGCACATGTTGAAATCCATGTCATCCAGCATTCCCAAACCTGTTTAAAAATCTGTCCCAGGAAGAGGGTGACAGTGATAGTGCTCCCACAATGTTAATCTGAATTGTGTTCCCTCTCAGTTTTCTTTTACTGGTGATAAGTTTGATTCTGTGATTTTCACTTCCTGGTTTAGAATTATTAGGGTATTGGTTGGGGCACTCGTTTCACAAGCAAGAGGACCCGGGTTTGATTCCCGGGCAGGGCGAAATGTTAGGCAAGTTTCCTTACTCCACACGCCTATGTTTAAACTAGTAGTAAGTAGGAACCCAGTTGTTAGTCGATTGGCAGATAGCTTTCTGGGTGTAATAATCCCTTCAAAAAAAAACAAATCAACAAATAATAATTTGGTCAGTCAATTCACAACTGTTTGTGGGACACAGTGTGCAATTGGCTGCCGTGTTTCACCCACAAAATATACAGTCAGTTCATTTTACAGTATATTCTGTGAAGCACTTTGAGAAGTCTCAGTGACTTGATAAGGTATTATATTGAATGCAAGGATTATTATTATTAATAAAAGTCCTAAAATCCAACTTTCTTAGACTTCTTTAAATTTACTCCAATTCGTCAAAAGCTCTTTTTGAAAGTTGGTCCTAACATTTCACCTGATGTGTATCTAAGTATGTTTAAATTTACATAAAATATTTTTTCTTTTACAGGAATAGCAGAATAACTACAGATTAAGGACTTGGTAGAGATTACTCCAATCAATATCTTTTAAAATATCTGCTTTCTCATCTCAGTGTGGCTCAAGATTGTGGTTACAAATGAATTCAATAAATCTTGAGAATTCAGAAGATCTGCAATACTGCTTTGAATTTAACATGTCCTGCCCGAAATCCATCAGATCAACAACAACCACTGTAACAATGTACATTTTTATTACAATTTCAATAGTAATTACAATTCTTGGAAACTCAGTTGTGATGATTTCAATTTTACATTTCAAGCAACTGCAAACACCCACCAATTACCTGGTGCTGTCTTTAGCTTTTGTGGATTTTCTGATGGGATTTTTCGTATTGCCTTTCAGCATGGTTAGGTCTGTTGAAACATGTTGGTATTTTGGGGATACATTTTGTGACATTCACTCAACTTTGGATGTGGTGTTAACTACGGTATCCATATATAACTTGTGTTTCATTGCGATTGACCGTTACTATGCAGTTTGCGAGCCTCTGCTCTACAGTATAAAAATGACTCTTCCTATGACAGCTTTGATTATTACGTTAAATTGGCTGTTTGCTATTATTTATGGATCCTGCGTGTTTTTGTCAGAGTTCACTAAAAAGGCAAGTGGTCATTATAGAACCACAATTTCCTGTAAAGGCAGCTGTATTGAGTATAGGTTTGGAGGACATATGGATGCATTGATTGTATTATTCATTCCCACCTTTATCATTTTAGGCATATATCTCAAGATATATTTTGTGCAAAGGAAGCATGCTCGAAAAATTGGAAACATGCCAAATAACATCAACTCTAAAGAAGAAATCAATGTTAGAGTGCTGCAGACCAAAGAAAAAACGGCTGCCAAAAACCAAGGGGTTGTGATGGGAATCTTTGTACTCTCTTGGCTACCTTTCTATTTAAGCAGTATTATTAATCCTTACCTTAATTTTGCCACTCCGCCAATTTTATTTGAAGCTTTTACATGGTTTGGCTTCTTTAATTCCGCTTTCAACCCAGTGCTTTATGCTTTCTTTTACCCCTGGTTTCGCACAGCACTAAAATCAATCCTTACTTGTCAGATTCTGAGACCCGAATCTTCTATAATGAATTTGTTTCCAGAGTAACTATAATCCAGATTTCATGGAGTTGCAGATAATGTGTGCACTTTAAACCAGCATTGCCACATAATTCAGCGTAAACTAACACCTGAATTATTCGTAAAAGAGAATTGGACTCATACAATGTTATATAGTATTTCCTTACTGTATTCCATTTGTTTGTGAAAACAAAATTTAAACTGGGTAAATGTAAAAGGTATTATATTTCTCTATGTTTCTACGTCAAATGTTGTTTACCATGTTACATTTTCTATAGTGCTGTATTACATTGATGTTTAACATTTGATGTATTTAACTTGGACGAGATATATGTCAAAGAAGGTGAAACCATACAGTATTTTTGAGACAACACTTTAATTGAACTTTTGTGAGGTTTAACAACTTAGTTATCAATTAATTTTTGTGGCAATAGACTAAACTATTAAATGAAAACCAAATCTCTAAAATTACAGAAGCCTTATTTTTCTAAATAAGAACAATTTATTGATGTAATGCTCTTTTTGAATTGTAAAATAAGACGTGAGATCAAATTTAAAAGAACAATACAATACAAAATTACATTTGTAAAGCGCCTTTCACGTCCCAACGGGAGGACGGCCCAAGGCGCTGAACAGTCAGGGATTCGAACCCAAGCGGAGGTGGGGGGGGATTGGAATCATGGAGGGTGGAGGGCAGAGAGGGTAGGAGGGTGGCCGAAGGCACGGTCGAAGTGGAGGGTCTTGAGACGTGCCTTTAATGAGGCAAGGGAGGGTGCGAGGCAAAGTGAATGTAGGATGGAGTTCCATAGGGTGGGGGTAGATATATCATCCAGAACTCTGCAGCTCGTGTCTTCTCCCGCTCCAGGTTCCATGACCCCATAACACGCATCCTCGCCCAAATCCACTGGCTCCCCATCCCTCAGAGGATAAACTGAAGGCCCGACCGGCAATGGTGGGGTGGGCCGGGCGAGGGATATGGAGCAGGCTGGGGCATGGTGAGCGGAGGGAGCGGACAAGTTGATAAGTGGTTAGCAGGTTGGAGAGGTAGGAGGGGGCAAGCCATGGAGGGTCTTGAAGGTGAGGATGAGGATTTTGAACTCGATCCTCTGAGGGATGGGGAGCCAGTGGATTTGGGCGAGGGTGGGTGTTTAGGGGTCATGGAACCTGGTGCGGGAGAAGTCACGAGCTGCAGAGTTCTGGATGATCTGTAGCTTGTGGCAGGAAGAGTTGGGAAGGCCAACAAGCAGGACACTGGCATAGTCAAGCCTGGATGCAATGAAGGCATGTATGAGAGTTTTGGCGGCCTGAGAGGTGAGGAAGTGGCGGAGTTGACCAATGTTGGTAAATGGATATTACAAATGCAATGCAAGAGCATTTAGTTTTCACAAAACATGTAGAAATTTATATTCATTTAATATAGGTGAAATTAAAAAAGATTTTATTCTAGTAGTATAATACTGTAACACTATCATCTGCACACATGTATATTCAAAGCTTAATGGATCATTGTTATACAAGGTGAAAAGCAGTACATGTTTCAAGAAACCTCACAAAATTCTGCCAAGAAAACTTAAACCACCTCAGCATCTAAATTGGTCAAATTAGCTAAACTGTAACAATGTACATTTGTGCGAGCAATATTTATGCAATATTGTACAAATAACAAAGTGTGTTACGAGGCTTTTCTGGTTTAATGAAAAAAGCAAGACAGGCAATTTTATATATATTAATTATATTTTTCTCTCCTGGTTTCTTCCTTTCTTTTTCTTTCTTGCATTTCATATCTTACCAGGATAAGTAGCTGCAAAAAGAAAGGAGAGATAGGTGAATGCATAAAAATGTTACAAAACGAAACACAACAATCTCAGTCTGGCTTGGAGATACTAGTGTGCGGATGTGAAACACACAGGGTAAATCCTAAAGTAAGTCATTTTTGACAACTATAATGCACTTCTTAGCAGTCGGCCACTGAACAATAATGGAAGATCTCTGGGAATAGATTTCTCCATTTTGTCTTTTGATAGTATTATATTACAGAGAAACTAAATGGCAACTAGAAAAATAACATGTGAGTTTACAGCTGTCTAACATGATAATATGAAAGCAGAACTCATGTTATCAGAACATAACTTATTAATAGCATAATGTATATATAGCTCATACCAGCCAATAGAGACTGTCACTTTGAAGTTTAACGACAAGTACTCAGTGCCTGCCTTGTATTGCCATAGGTTTTCCTATAAGAGATGTAATAATCAATCAAACTTGTTTCCTGTAAATGTGAAATAAAATTGCTGGATCTCTAAAAATGTTTGTTATTATCATGAGAAATGTTCAACAATGAAATGGTATTTTGTTCCCTAGGTGTTCAGTTAAAAATAACATTTCATTAAGAGATATTGGTGTGGATATAGATGTTATTGATAATTAATCTCCATTCATTCCCAGATTTTGTTGTGAGGACATATTTTGCAATCTGATTAAAGTTTTATTGATATTCCTTTCTACCAAACCTTGGGTAAACTTTAGGGGTATAAAGGCTAAGCTACATGATATAGATTGAAGGGATTACTCAAGGACAAATCAGTTGAGGATAAATGGACATCTTCAAAAATCTTTATGCAGAGCTCGCAGAAGACATACTTATCAAAGTGCAGCAGGAACAAATGGAACAATGGGCCAAAACGTATTATTTATCCAAAGCAATCTTGTGAGCTAGTTCATGTGATTGATGAAAAACAATGAACCATAGTTTGTTTTGAAGCAGGTTGTGAGAAAAGCATCAATGAACTCTATGATCACCCCAAACATTTCAAATTCAGTGCCGGAATGTCCAGTTGCTCTCTTTGGTGATTTTGAGTCAAATAATAGTAACTTACTTGCATTTAATATAGTACCAATACTGCCAAAGTTAATCAAAGAGAATTGTGTCAAGCATAATGTCTGCAACCGTGTAATGCTCCAAGCAGTTATCCTATATGAAAGGTGCTATATAAATGAAAGATATTGTTGTTATTTACCATCTGTACAAAGATTAATACGTGATCTAACAAATCCTATTTTCCTTTTTCTATTGTTCTGGTTGTGGTATTTTTGTGGTATCTGATCATCTGTCTGATAATACAATGCTGCGCTGTTTAACTAACACTTGCTTGACCTAGATGTTACGTCGTTAATCCACTTAAGAGTCCAATCCCTAGATCTCATTTCCACATTAATTTGATGCCTGCATATTATTATCCTGAACTAGTTAAAGACACATCCTTCTGGTTAGGACCAGGTATAAAACAAAGACTTGAAATGCCCATTTCAAACATGGGAATAAAATTTATGATAATTGAAGTACTCCTTAACTTATTTAAGGAATATTCAATAATGACCACCAACAACAATTTACATTTGTATAGTATATTTTAGGTTAGGAGGACGGCTTAAAGTGCTTCACCTGAGTTGAGGGACAGTGGGGAACTGAGGAGGGCAGTGGGATGGTGTGCAGAGGGGAAGTAGACCAAAAGTGTGCTCAAGAAGATAGATTTTATGGTGGGCAAAGTTTTGCAATTCCTTACATTTGTTCCTTACCTTTTATCTAAGTAAGAGATACAATTTACATTCATAGTATAACTTTGGAGTCCTGTAGCTCAGTGGTTAGAACACTCGCCTCGCAAGTGAGAGACCTGGGTTCGATTCCTGGGCAGAGCGAAATATTGGGCAAGTTTCCTTAGTCCCCCCACCTCTGGTTACCTAGCAGAAAGTAGGAAACCGGTTGTGAGTCAATTGGCGGATCTTTTAATTATATATTAAAGGTCACCAAAACTGCGGTCACAAAGTAAGGACATAAGATGGGCTTTAAAGGTAGACAGTGAGAGGTGTGAGACTCCGGGATGGAGTTCTACAGTGACAAGGGTGGGAGCAATGGGCATAGAACATTAAACAGTCTAATACTCACTGATGGAAGGACATGATTGGGGTGATAGAGTTGCAGTGGGTCACAGAGGTAGGGAGGAGCGACAGAACTTACTGAATGTAGGAAAGGGGAAGAAGATGATCTGTGTTTAAAATATAGGGTAACATCTGTGGTGTTCTTAAATAGATCCCACTCTTTATTTAAGGAACGCTTTTAGGACCACAAGCTGGTGAGTCTCTTCTCAGGTAGTTGGTTTGTATTTTAATATTTTTATATTTTAATTCTATGTGCAGTATTTTTGTTCTCAGGGACTTGCCTCCGCCATTTTGTTTTTATCCTGAAGTGATGGCTTTATTTGGTAAATTTTAGGCTCTCCAAAGAGGGCTGTAGATTAATTGTTTAATTTTTGCTTGCCTATGGTTCATCCACCTGATGTGACTAAAATTCACATTCTCCTAGGCTGAAAAAAAATAGCTTTCAGTGATCAGCCCACAGGGTTTGGGTCCTAGTTTGTTCAAGTACATTGTTTGGCCTAGGAGAGTAGAGATTTCAACCTCACCAAGCTGATAAAACTTGAGATAGCAAAGCTAAATCCAAAGACCTAGAGCTCTGTGGAGGACTTAAAATTTACAAAATAAAATTGTTGCTTCAGGGAAAAAGCAACATGGAGACACAGAAACCCTGAGTGGAGCAAACTACTTACCTGAGGAAGGTCACAGTCTCCAGGTGCTCATGAAAGTATTCACAATATTACAAGATTAGTTTAGATGAAGAAGGCCCTTCAACTCATCTGATCTCATACTTTCAAAACACCAATCTTACAGTTCTCCGATCACAGTATCAAGCTACGTTTTAAATGAGTCTACTGTCCTCGCTTCAATCACCTTTCCTGACAAACCTGTTCCAGTCATTAATTACTATCTGAGTAAAAGAATAACTTCATTTGTTGTCCGACTTGAAATTGCCCTTTACAACTCTAACTTCTACTGTCTTGATGCATCTTAAAGTATTGTTCTGGATTCAGTTTTTCAATCTAATTTCTATTTTTATATAGATTCATGAAGTCCCCTTTGTATTCTCTCAAGCAAATCCTTAAATAATGAATGGTCTGCATTTAGGAATACTGCAAATTGTATCTAATAGTGATACTAAGGGAAAAAATAAAGTTGGCTTTTGAATTATTATCGCTCATACTTCCACGTTATAAATGAGAAGCATTTACTGCTGGTTATAGTGCAAGCACGGCTGAGACCACTATTCATGCCTTTCAGCACAATCTTGCTCTTCAATCATCATGGCATCTTGCTACAGACGTGACTTTGGGCTTATGTATCCATTTTTTCTGACCATTTGAACTGAAATGTCTGAAAAAGAAGCCAAGGGTTTTAACATCATAATATCATAGGTTTAGTATCTGTCTTTCCACCAAAGCAATATGTTAATACAGTAATAGGGAAACTAAGTAGCCAATTTTTATTGCATTCATTTTCACAATCTACAGCACTAACATTTTATAGATTGAGAGTTTATTTCTCAATTACATTTGCTAATGTCATTTATATTTTGTACAAGAAGACAGTATCTTAATTCTATTATGTAACATATAGATTTTAAGGCCAGCAAAATCCAAATTGGCTACTTACGCAAAACAGGGGTGTGTCCAAGATTAACAAGATCACAAGATTTCTCACTCCAGATCACCCACCTTACCATCACTGCATCAAGCTGCTTTTTGAGACCAGTGAGTCAAGGATGCCTGCAAGAATTTCGCTCGGGGGTTGAGGAGAGGGGTAGGATTTAATTTGAGTGAGGGAAGAAGGGGCAGGGAGCCAGGCTAAGACCAACCTGTCTGAATGGAGTCAGGGAAGGTGTAGCACAAAAATTGCTTCCACACTGTATTGTACCATACAGAAAATTCTGCACTTTAAGACATCCTCCTGATATGAAAAGCATTATGCGAAATGCAAAGAGTTTTGTTATTCTTGCCGAGCTTGTGCAGCATGCTATTAAGTATGTTTTCTCAGCGTTTATTAAACTGTACGAATAATAAATAATAATCCCTGCATTTGGTATAATGCCTTATCATGTTGGAAGGATGTCTCAAAGCGCTTCACAATATTTACTGTGAAATGAGGTGACGATGTATTTGTAGGCAAATGAGGCAGCGCGATTGTACACAGGATTGTCCCACAAACAGCCATGGAGTGAGTGATCAATTTTTATTTGTGGATTGTTGGCCAGGACATCGAAAGAAACTATCTTCTCTTTTCGAACAGCACCATGGAATTTTTAACATCCACCTTGAACAGGCAGATTCTCTGACAATTCTCTGACAATGCAACCTCCCCCCAGCACTGCATTGGAGAGTCAGTTTAGATGATGTGAGTTCTACGTCCCATCATGGGTCTTGAACCGAAAACATTCTGACCCAGAGGCGAGAATACTACCACTGAGCTAGATTAACACACAAAATTAATGTGCACCAATAACAACAACTTGCATCTATATAGTGCCCTTCATACAGGATATGTTTTAGAGCGGATCATTTATTAAGGTTTCCTTACAACTGTTTTGCTACCACAATTTTCATATCCGATTCTGCTATAATTCATCTTGGATCAACCATGGAAAATTTGTCAAGGAAATGGACAGGCAGGTATTTACTGCTGAGGTATAATATAAAACGACTTAATTCGCTGCACAATGTTACGTCAACAAAACTGGATACAAGACCAGAATTTAATTCTTCTTGAAGTTAAGTGGGAGTGCTACTGTGTCCAATCGTGCAAGGATAGTGGCTCACAGTGAACTGGTTCACGACAAATTACAAAGTACTGTAGTGTGATTCAAGGACCTGAGTTTGACATTCTGAGTTGGATCAACAATATCAGATTACACAATTCAGTTCTTGGATACGTTTTTCAAGGATTGCATCTCCCAATACATGTATGGATCTGTCTTGAATTAGGTTATAGTAGGACACAATAAAATCCATTTTTTTAGAATTACCTGTAGTCTTTTTGCATTTTATTAAGAACAACTGTGTTATTGTATCACACACTATCTGCATTAAATCATGACTGTACTGTATGTAAATAGCATTTGCGTTCCTGCATTTTACTCTTCTTTATCTAAAAACATTCATTGTACCAATCCTTAATCATTTGTACCAGTTTCTTATCATCAATAGTCCACATGTACATTTTTCAGCAAAATGACTGTTTTACAAAACATAGAATTTGTTTTGCATTTATTGTGATTTTATCATTGCTGTGTTCTTTCCCTTTGCTTCTCTATAGCATGCACTTTCCTCAGCTAAAAGAAAGAGCTAAATACATGATCTCAGATCTCTGAATCATTTGCTGGGAGGTGTGAAAGAATAGCATGGAGTGAATAGCTCTACAATTCTCTTTCCCCCATTGTGTGGGTGCGGTCTTGCCACTTTGCCACCTCTCACAATGGCAAAGTTGACATTCTTGGCTTGTGGTGAATCATAAGTCCATTTTTATTGCATTTGGAGTGGAGTATCGTCTCCTAATCCCATCCAGTATGCTATTACCCACTACACAAATTAATATTTTTTCTAATTTTAATGTTGTCTAAAACATTGTGTAATTCTGCAGCAAATGTATAAAATGGCAAATAGATGTTGGATATAATTCAGTTAATATATCTGCAGCAGAATTATGTACAGAATTATAGATATTTTCACTAATTCATCTCAAAGTTCTTAAGATAAGGTTTATCTATTCTCTAACACTAAATATATAGTTTTGAATAATTTTAGCATTGCTGTCGGATGTTTCTTGTAATATTGTGAAGCATTTAACACCAGTCTACTGTTTTACAAATTTACTTGTATTAATCATACTGTAAAGATACAATGAAAATAGTATTTTATTTAGTAGGAATGTATTTAACGTACCATGTTTTCATTTGCTATGCAAGTAACAATTACTACAATCCTAGTGTTCGGATGAAATGTGAAACCGAGGTCCCGTCTGCCTGTTCAAGTGGACGTTAACAATCCTGAAGCACTATTCGAAAAAAGAAAGGAGTTTCTTCAGGTATTCTGGCCAATAATTCACCAAATTAAATTGGTTATTCATTTCATGGCTGTTTGTTGGACATTGCTGTACACAAATACACTGTAAATCCTGTGAAGCACTTTGAGACATCGTTCTGACATGACAAGATGCTATAACAGAGCAAGGATTATTATTATATTATTGTTTTCCAGTTGTACTACAACTTTTATTAAATTGCAGTGTAGTGCAATATGTATAGAAAACTGGATTTTATTACATTCACAATATTCCTACTGTGCCTATGTTGGGATGTTTTAGTGTCAGAGCTCAACAAAAAATTGTATTTGCAAAATACCTTTTACAGAGGATCAATGTCTCTGCAACAACTTTCACAGTATTTACACAGAAAAAGTTTACAAATTAAATATGAATTTAAGAAATTTTCAGAATTTTAAGAGAAAATGGTTTATATAGACAAAGGCTTGATGGAATTTGGGGCAATTTTTAAAAAGATATTAAGCAATTGGTAACATAGTTATGTTTAGTAATAGGTATATGCTTACATTTACTTTATACTGATTTTCCCCAGATAGCTTGGGAAATTCAAGTAAGTAATCACACTACAATGTTTATTTATATTTACTGAAGATATTTTTTCCATACAGGAACTACAACAAGTAATAAAGAAACAACTGGAATGAGAAAAATTAAAATAACCCACCTGAATATTTGAGAACTGACAGTGTGATTCAACAGTTTACAGCTGAGAGGACAAATGAATTCCACAGACTAAGAAAATAGATATGCAGTTTTGTTTTGAATTTGTTAATACTTCTTGTCCAAAGGTCATCAGGTCAGCAGCAATATACACAGTCACGTATGCTGTTATAATAATTTCAACAATAATTACAATTGTTGGAAACTTAGAGGTGATTATTTCAATCGCACATTTCAAACAACTGCAGACACCAACCAATTATCTTATCCTTTTGTTAGCTACTACCCATTTTCTGATAGGACTGATTATACTACCTTACAGTATGGTAAGGTCAGTTGAAACCTGTTGGTATTTTGGTTATGTGTTTTGCAAAATTCATTCTAGTTTGGGTATGATGCTGACCACAGCCTAAATCTTCCACTTGTGTTTTATTGCCGTCGACCGTTACAATGCTATGTGTGACCCATTGCTCTACATTACAAAAATCACCCTGCCTGTTTTAAGTATGTTCATTACAATTAGTTGGGCACTTCCCAGAGTTTTTGCATTTGGGATTGTCTTCTCAGAAATAAATTTAAAGGGAATGGAGGATTATTTTGCTGCAATTTCTTGTCATGGTATGGTGTGCTCATATTTAATAAGCAATGGGGGCTTTTGGATCCGGTCATTGCATTCTTTGCTCCCAGTCTTGTCCTGGTGGGCATGAACATCAAGATATTTCTCGTGGCAAGAAAGCACAGCAGAGTAACAGGAAACAAGTCAAACAAGATTCACTCTACAAAGGAAAACAATACCAGAATCTCATGCAGAAAGGAACATAAAAATACCAAAACTCTAGGTATAGTAATGGGAGTCTTTCTGATATGCTGGCTACCTTTTTTCATAGATACAATTATTGATGCTTATATTAAATTCACCACACCACCAGTTTTATTTGATGCATTTGTGTGGTTTGGATTTTAATTCCCCTTTGAACCCAATGATTTTCTGCTTTTTTTATCCCTGGTTTCGCAAAGCACTAAAACTTATCCTTTCCTTTAAGATATTTAACATCGATTCTTTTGTGAGTAATTTGTTTCCAGAATAAAAGCAATGATAAAGACCTGAACAACAACAACCACCATAACAAAATTACATTTGTATAGTGCCTTTCACGTTGGGAGAACATCCCAAGGTGCTGAAATGCTGAGTGCTGAGTTTACACAGACCCGTGTTACTTTTGTGAAGCTTATAGATAAGAATAGAATCCCACATCATACTGTCTGCAGATTTAAGCTTGAGAAAATTGCAACAATAGTCTTATTTTAGCGGTTTATCCTTAAGTATTCTTTAAAAAATATTGTGATTGTAAATACTGTGCACAGACAGCTATTTAAAAGTACTTTAATATTGTGATATGTTGTACGACCCTATAAAACAGCATTAATGTGTCATTCAAAACTAGATTTATTCCTATGATGCTTTTTTCATTAAATTGAATGGTGAACATGACCTTGTTAAGCCAGTGCTATTGTTTTAAATGTCCGTACTGCAGATTTCAAATTTCCTGTATGAGTCATCTGAGGGTCATCAATACGCAGATGGCATTTGTCTTATGTTTGTATTGAATTTGTAGGTGGAAAATTAGTTTGCACTTGTCAGTGTATAAACAACACAAAAGTGATGCTAAGGGAATTTTGACCTGGCACTATGTGCAATCCAAAAATAATTGCCATTGTCATATTTTAGAAATGAATATTAGAATACTTAATAATAATTCATATGACATTTGACACAAAACTCCATAGGGCCATCACACCAGTCCCTGCCAGGCTCCCAATTACTGAACAGATCGATTTCAAGAACCTCTCACTCATTTTTAAATTCCTTCATTCCCTCGCACCTCCCTCCCTATCCAAACTGCTTAGCTCCCACTCCCCCAACCGCTGCATCTGATCTGCTGGTTTCGGCCTCCAGTTTGTCCCTTTGCCCTTCTTCTCCACCATTGGTGGTCGTGCTTTCAGCCACTAAGTCCCGAAACTCTGAACTCTCTCCCCCAATCCCTGTCTTGTCCCTCCCTCCCTTCAAATCCTTCCTTTTTGAACGTGCTTACAGTCACTTCGCCCCTCCCTCTTCCCATGGCTTGTTCTCAGACTCCGCCACTGTCAAGCGCTCCTTTGATGCTACCCCGTGTGTAGGACGCTATATAAATGCAAGTTGTTGTTGTATTAAACTGCTGTTTCCACCATTGGTTGTTCTGTATGGGTGCTCAATGTGAACTACACATTAGGGGAGCTATTCTCCTTTTATGAGTAATTTGCCAACATTGGTTGGCAAACCTGTATCATTCTGAATTTGTCAATAATTTATTGGCCTTGCTTGTGTTTCCTTGTAAGGGGATTTATCACACAATCATAGTATATTACAGACCAGAAGGAGGCCATTCGACCCATTGTGCCCGTGATGGCTCTTTGGAAGAGCTATCCCATCAATCCCACTGCCCTGCTCTTTCCCTACATCCTTGCATTTTTTTCCTTTTGAAGTCCCTATCTAAAGTCCTTATCTAATGGAATCACATGGACCCAATGGAAATGATTGTTCAATATTTACAGTTGACTCTTGGACCAATGAATTTATTCATCTTTGCTAAGTGTGAGCAACTATGCATAGTCCATTTATCCCCCAGGAACTTCTTGCAATATGCATAAGGAGTCAATGGAGTAAAAGGTGCAACATGTAACACGTTAATTTTACTTGGTACTAATTATAATATTTCTAATAAATGGAGTTAAATGTATGATAAACCAGATACAGTAGACAATGTTGGGCTCACTAAAGGTTCGTTTGGACTTACCAGCTCACAGGAATCCAGCTTAATACTGATTTTTCTGGCACACCCAAGGCGAGCCTTGTTTTGACTGCTTGCTCTAATTTATCAGCAATGCAGTAATTAACACAGTTTGTAATTAACCCAGATTCTATGAGGAATTACAATTATGAAGGAGAAAATATCAGTTTTGCCCAGTGAACTGAATAACTCTTTGGGAATTTATATGACTTTATGGATTATTATCCAATAGCTCAGTAGTTAGAATAATTGTCTCGCAAGTGAGAGACCTGGGTTCGATTCAACATCAACAACAAAATTACATTTGCAAAGCGTCTTTCACATCGGGAGGACGTCCCAGGCACTGAACAATCAGGGATCAGGACCCAAGGGTGGGGGGGCAGGGTTGGGGTGATGGAGGGCAGAGAGATAGGAGAGCGGCTTAAAGCACGGTCCAAAAGGAGGGTCTTGAATCGAGTCTTGAAGGAGGCAAGGGAGGGAGCAAGGCAAATGGATTGTGGGATGGAGTTCCAAAGGGTGGGGGTAGAAAGGCTGAAAGCCCGGCCGCTGATGGCAGGGTGGGTTGGGCAGGGGACATAGAGCACGCTGGAGCCTGCTGAGCAGAGGTAGTAGACACATTGATATGGGGGTCAGCAGGTCAAAGATGTAGGAGGGGGCAAGGCCATGAAGGGTTTTGAAGGTGAGGACAAGGATTTTGAATTCTATCCTCTGAAGGATGGGGTGCCAATGGAGCCGGGTGAGAGTGGGAGTGATCGGGTCACGGAGCCTGGTGCAGGACAAGAAGTGAGCTGCAGAGTTCTGGAAGATCTGCAACTTGTGGACGGAAGTTTCTGTAGTCAAACCCTGAGGTGACAAATGCATGTATGATGGTTTTGGCGACCTGAAGGGTGAGGCAGTGGCGGAGTCAGGCAATGTTGCCAAGGTGGGGGAAGGCTGAGCAGGTCATGGCATGGATATGGGGGAGAAAGGACAGTTGAGGGACGGACAAGATACCCAGGGTCCTGACTGGCTCAGTGAGGTGGAGTGTGGATCCATGGATGCTGATCCTGCCAGTGCCTGAGGTGCGGAGACACTGGTGGAGCCAATCAGGAGAGCCTCAGTCTTGATTGACATTCAACTGTAAAAAGTTGGCTCTCATCCAGGACTTGATATCAGACAGATAGTCTGTCAGGACGTCAGTTGTCCTGGAATCGAGGGTGGAGGCAGAGAGATAGAGTTGGGTGTCATCCACATACATGTGGAAGTTGACTCCATGTCTACGGATAATGTCACCGAGTGGGAGCATGTAGAGGTTAAAGAAGAGAGGACCGAGGACAGAGTCCTGGGGAACACTGCACAAGAATATGTGGGGGCTGGAAGAGAAACCGTTAGCAGAGACAAATTGTAGACGGTGTGAGAGATAATACCTGAACCATTCAAGGACAGAACCTTGAAGGTTGAGGTGAGAGAAGAGGCAATGGAGTAGAATGGAGTAGTCCATGGTATCGAAGGCAGCAGAGAGGTTGAGGAGGCAGAGGAAGCCCTGGTCACAGATGGACAGGATGTCATTTGTCACCTTGACCATAGCAGTTTCCGTACTGTGAGCAGCATGGAAATCCGATTGGAGGGGCTCATGAAGGGAGCAGTAGGAAAGGAATGAGTGAAGCTGGGAAGCAATGACTCTTTCAAGGACCTTGGAAAGGAAAGGGAGGTTGGAGATGGGCTGGTACTTAAAAAGCAGGGATGGGCCCAGGGAAGGTTTTTTCAGGATGGGTTGATTATAGCTGTTTTTAGGCGGATGGGAACGGCACCAGATGATAGGGAAAAATTGATGGTTTCGGAGAGTAGAGGGGAGAGGAGGTGGAGTTTGGAGGGAAGGAGAGCGGTGGGGATGGGGTCAAGGGAGCAGGTGGTGTGTTTCATGCTGGATATGGTGGTGATAGAGAGGAGGGCGAGACAGGTTTTAAATGTGGAAGGAGGGATGGGTAGGGGTCGGAGAGTGGAGATGGGGAGGGCATAGTGGTTTGGAGGGTGGAGGCAGTTGAATGGATCCTCTCGATTTTGGACTTGAGGAAATCCAGCATCTCCTTATAGTCAGAGCTTGAGGAGAGAATGAGCGAGGTGTGGGAGGGTGGACGGAGGAGCCGGTTGGTGATGGAGAGTAGGAGCGTGGGGTTGTTCTTCGCCTCCAAGATTGTCTTGGAATAGAAGGACAATTTGCTGGAGGTGAGAGCGGAGCAGTACGATTCCCAGCAGGGTGAAACATTGGGCTAATTTCCTTATGCCTCTGTTTACCTAGCAGGTAGGAACCCAAGTTGTTAGTCAATTGGCAAATGGCTTTTCCAGGGGTCATAATTCCTTCAAAAAAATAATAATAAATTGGTCACTCAATCCACGAGAGTTTGTGGGACGCTGCTGTGTGCAATTGGCTGCCGCGTTTCGCCCACAAAATATAGTCTGTGAAGCGCTTTGAGACTTCTCGAAGACGTGATAAGGTGCTATGTCAAATGCAAGGATTATTATTATCCTGTCATTAAAATTCAGGTACAGGTGTAAGATTTTGAGTTCCTCATCATATAATACAAAAAAACTGATTAGCAAGATCTCAAATTGATGTTAGTACTTTATTCAATCAAAAAACGACATTGATAAGCTGTTATACTATACATACAACTGGGATAAATCATTCAGATACAAGGATGATCAAATCCTTCCTCCAGGGAGAGATGGTGACCACTTAGAGAACATCAATCATGTGTTGACAGCTGATTTTTCTCCTTCAGTGATGGTGTCTTGTTCTCCTACCAATGTATTGTATTCACAACTTTTATATCGTATTCTCATTCCAGGCCATGCCAAGGTCTTGCTTTTCCACACAAGCCACGTACAGCCAGTCCTGCTGGTTTCTTATCTTTGCTTTACTTTTCGTATTGAAGTTTAACCTGTTTACATTCCTTCAAACCTTATCAAGCAACAATGTTTTTACATCCCCTTATCAAAGATGCCTTGCTCATCCTGCCTCTCATAACAGGTGGTACCTGGTACAATAACAGAAGTTTTAATAAACACCAGGCTGCACAACAACTCCTGCAAAGTTTCTTTCTCTCTCTATCAGTTTTTTCTCACAAAAACCAGCTTGCTCAAGATCACTGGCTCC